GGAAACTATATCCTGCAGCTGAGGTGAGGACTTTGTCCAGGGCCAGAGTTAAAGGGCACACCTCACATCTGTCATGCTGGTGGACTCTCCTTTTTCTCCCCAGCTGGGGCTTCTAATTTCGCTCCCAAAGTCTGTCTGCTCCTTCCCTCTACACCAGTGTTTCTTAAACTTCTTGAGACCACAGAACACCAAACAATAATATTTTTTTATGTGGAACACCTATGAAAATTTTCTTGAAAAAAAATTATTGTCAGACAAAAAAAGACCAAAAAAAAAGAGGTCGCGGCACACCTGCGAGTTGTTCACGGAACACCAGGGTTCCACGGAACATAGTTTAAGAAACACTGCTATAGACCCCTCGTAGGAATCTTATTGGGTTACCACGTGACCCACTTGTCTCAGTCTATACCTCGCCACTTTTGGCAAGGCCACACAGTTCAGTAGTTCCCACGTGATCCTATAGTCAGAGTCTATTCGTGGGGGAGTAGGTAAGGGAAAGGTTTACATCTCCCTGCAGGGGGATCCACTGGACATCACCCTAGGGCCCTATTAGTGGCTTGTTCTAGCCACTGAGTCAGCAGGGAAATTCCACTGCAACACGCTGACTCTCCAATGGTGGCTCACTCAGACTACGCTACAGAGTTTTGTTGGAAAAACAACCGTTTTTCCAACAAAACTTGAGGAACATCCACACTGCAATTGCATTCTTTTGATAGTAAATCGAAAGAACAGAGAGTTTTTTCCAACTTTGGTAATCCTCATTCTACGAGGAAGAAACCTTTTTCTGAAAGAGCTCTTTGGGAAAAAGGTGTGTGTGGACGGGGAGGAGAGGGGGAGGAGAGGGGTTTTTTTTTTTTTTTTTTGAAAGAAGAAGCCTTCAGGAAATAGCACAGGTGCCCTGGAGGCCACTCCATACAAAGTAATCACAGCTCTATAGTTCCTGTCTCCTGGCCCCTCTTCAAGCTGCAGGCACCCTAGACAAGTCTTGTGGCAGGAAGCTGGCCAGAAAGCAGCACCTCACCATGTGGCTTTCCCTGCCACAGGCCTGCTCACTGATGGCTGAGCCTCCTGGCCCATGCAGGGAGCAACTCCGGGGGTTCCAGGACCCACCCAGGGGGACGAAGAGGTGCCAGAGGAACGAAGAGGTGTGGGAGATCCAGTCCCTCCTCGAACTGTGGGGCAAGGAGGAGACATTACAGGATCCCCAGGCCAAGTGCAGAAATGCAGACATTAATGGCTGGATGGCCAACTCCCTGCCTGAGCACTGACACCCAACCTGGACCTTGGAACAGGTCAAGAGTAAGGTCAAGGAGCTCCTCCAGGAATATGTCTGGGCCAGAGAGTACAGCTCGCACTCAGGGGCAAGACCCCACACCTTCCCCCATTACAAGGAGCTACACAAGATTCTGGGGGGGTGGGGAAATGTCTTCCCCACCCATCTTCATGGGGCAGGAGGACCAAGGCCAGCTGGCCATGGCAGAGGAGGAGATGGGCACCATGACCGTCTCCCTTGAGCCAGTGCTTGTGAGCCAGGATGTCTCCCAGGCCTCCTCGAAAGCCTGGGAGGGATCTTCAGGTGAGTGGTCTCACTTTGTCACACATACAGGGCAGGAGAGGTGGGTGCACAGGATGCAGGGGGTGAGTGTTGCTCAGGCTGGACATCATGCTGTCTGTGCACGTGCAACCATGTGCTGTGTTACTGTGCAGCACATGGACACAGCAGGCAGCCCCTGAGTATGGGTGGGATCCTGCCCCCAGGCTCAGAGGAGGTCACACACATCCTGCCATGGAGAGGGGGCCCTCCCAGCACCTGCCATGGCTGGAAGCAGGCTAGCCACAAGCGCGCAGGCACGACCCCCCCAAAGACCGAGGAGTGCCACACACAGCACATGAGCATGCCTGCACATGCAAAGCAGCAGCCACTCCCACAGACAGCACTGCCAGCTGCACCTTTGTGTGCGGACCCCAGGGAGGACCAGGCTGCTCCCACCTCCTCTGCCACCTATTGGGGATCCCATTGTGGTCAGACACTTCCCTTTGCTGCTTGTTTGTGGGCCGGGAGTGGGGAATGAGCAGCATGGTCCTCTGGGCACGTTGGGGCCCCTGTAAGGAGGCATGGCCCACTGGGGAGGCCACACATGGCCTTGCACCTGGGACATCCCCCTTCTCTGGGCCGCGGACTGTTGGCCACTGCTCACAGAGGAGGGCATGGCCTCAGGGACAGTGTCTGCATGGATGACTGATTGCCTCTCCCTCTGGTGTGTTCCCCACAAACGGACCTGCCAGGACTGAGGAGTGAGCCATACCACCGTAGCCACCTGCCAGAGCCTGGGGGACCCAAAGGTGTGCCAGGGTTGATGAAGACCTGATGCACCAGCACATCAGTGTCCTTTGCGACATCCACCAGATCCTGATGTACAAGATCCACACAGACGTGTAGAGGCGGGACCGCGCTTGAGACCAGCTGATGCAGCGATGTGACAACATGTGTGCCATCATGTCCTGCATGATGGCAGACCCACCTGATGCCTCTGCTCCTGGCTTCCCTCCTCCTGCCCCCCATGCTATGCCCATTCCCCATCCGCTTGCCCTCCCTGTTATGCCTCTGCTACTCTCAATGTGAGCGAGCCATCCTCCACTGCCTCTGGGACTCACACAGCTCGCTCACTCACTAAAGAGCTCCACAAGCCAGCTAGACAGTTGCAGAGAGTGAGTGTGGGGGACAGACTGGGCACCTCTGGCACGCTGCCGAAGCACCCAGTTGAGAAGACAGGCTAGGGCTGCAGTGCTGCAGCCCCGAGCCTTGCCCGCCCCAAAGATCTGATGCTGGCTCCTTACAAAGGGCCGCAGGCAGAATCAGCACCGGCAACGGCTCTAACGGCTGGGCCCTTGCCGGGGATGG